GGCCCCCAGGAGGCCCCAGGAGGCCCCCACGAGGCCCCCAAGAGGCCCACAGGAGGCCTCAGAACTGCCCCCAAGAGGCCCCCGCGAGCGCTCCGAAGGAAGCATCCCCGAGAGCGCTGACCCACAACACAGGCACGGTTGTGGGATGGGCCAAAGGGCATTCGACGAATACCCTGCCTGTCGCAGCCTGAGGTGTGTCAGCGGGGCGGGCCGAGCGTTTCGCCTGAGTTGTCCTTCTCATTTCTAATCCTGAAGCTTCGAATTTGCACGAGCTTCACGGATGGAGGCCGTCCACTTTGAACCTGCGGCTCTCGCCCTATCGCCGCGCACATTCGTCTTAAACACGTGCAAGAACTTCATGGGTGGAAGCCGGTCCGCTTTCAAGCCTGGCTCTCGCCTTGGCACCCCGTGCATACGTCTTCAAACACATGACAAGGACTTCACGGATGGAGGACGGTTTCTTTTCAAAATGTGGCCCTCTCCTTAGCAACGCCCATGTTCGCTTTACGAATTTGCAGCAGTGTCACAGATTCGCATGATTCACGTCCCAGAAAGTGTGTGTGTGTGTGTGTTGGCACGACGTCGACATGACAGGACGCAACATATCTGCTGATTTCGCGATGCTGATGCCCCAGGAACGGTGCTCTGGCAGGATTCAGCATCGCCAAGACGCGGCACTAATGGTGATTCGCGGCGTTGAAGACCCAGAGATGGTGTTCTGGCACAGTTCAGGATTTTCAAGCGGTTGTCTTCCAACGGGCCACGTCCCTCAGTGAACATGTATCCTTGTATGGGGCCCACGAACAGGGAACTTGGAGGGCGGGTGTATGGCAATGTCGTTGCTGGATGCTTGGCTTGCACTGGTCCTCCTCCTCCTGGTCATCGTCGTGTACCCGTTTCCAGACGGCGAAGGAACGGGCGAGGAACGAGGGAAGCGAGAGTTGAAACGGCACCGCTGCATAAGTTGGCCTACGTACAAAAAGTTGAGAAGGCTCAGCCCTCACCTACGGACGACGTGCGCCCATGAAGGGGCCCTGGGACACACAACTAAACAGACACAACCCATAGGAGTCCCCATAGATTCCCATATGTTATGGATTCTCGCCGCCCCCCCACTTCCAATAGTTTCGCATATTTTCCTGGGGAATCGACGATTCACTGTCTGTGTGTGTGTTGTCCCTCCTCACACTAATCGGGCGCCCGAGTTATCCGGGGTAACTCGGGTCCGGGGTAACGCGGGCTTGAATTCCCGAAAAACGAACCCGAGTTAGCCGTGACCCGAGTTACCCCTGATGATTTGGGGCTCTGGGCGCCCGAGTTATCCGGGGTAACTCGGGCCGGGGGTAACTCGGGTTCGGAATCCCGAAAAGCGAACCCGAGTTAGCCCTGACCCGAATTACCCCTGATGATTCGGGGCTCTGAGCTAACGTGCAAAAGGTTGAGAAGGCTCAGCCCTCACCTAAGGACGACGGACGCCCAGTGAGGCGCCGCAGGGGCCGGCCCGCAGCAGACGCCCGGCGCCCCCGCCTCCGGGCGCCTCGAGGCGAGCGCGGAGGCCCCCTCTCCAGGGCACGTCTGCTCCGAAGTGCGCCTGGCCTCCCTTGAGACAGAGGCAGCAGAGATGGTGCTGGTGATGGTGATGGTGGTGGTGATGATGAGGATAATGATGCTGATGATGATGATGCTGATGCTGATGCTGATGCTGATGCTGATGCTGCTGATGATGATGATGATGCTGATGATGATGATGATGATGATGATGATGATGATGATGATGATGGTGATGATGATGATGATGGTGACGACAACGACGGCGAGGATGACGGTAATGATGACGACGAGGAGGACGATCATGATGATGCCGATGCTGAAACTGACGCTGATGCTGGTCATGGTGATGATCATGATGATGATGCTGAAGGTGGTGATTTTCATGATGATGTTCATGATGACGCTGCTGCTGATGATGATGATGATGATGATGATGATGATGATGATGATGATGATGATGATGATGAAACTGACGCTGATGCTGGTCATGATGGTGATCATGATGATGCTGCTGAAGGTGGTGGTGATGATGATGTTGTTCATGATGATGATGCTGCTGATGATGGTGACGATGACGATGATCAGCATGGAGAGAGCGTGATCCACCGCCGCTTTACTGTGGAACATTCCCGGTGGTCCCCCCCTCCGAAATCCCCCCCCCTGCTCGAACCCCACCGCCCCCTTCCCCTGACAACCCCCCCCCCTCTAACCCCCGCCCCCCTCTCCCCCCCCACCCCTCGGAAAACCATGGGGGTCACCCCCTCTCCAGAAAACCAAGGGGAATCACTACCGGTGCGACCCCCCCCCAACCTCCACTCGCCGCCGGCAAACAACTGCCGGGCCCCCACCAACGTGCTCACCACCGCCCTCACCACTGTCCCCACCACCACCGTCCACGCCTCCCACTGTCCCCACTGTTCCCACCACTGTGCCCACCAGTGCCCCCACCAGTGTCGCACTGTCCCCACTGTCCCCACTGTCCCCACCGCGGTCCCACTCTCCCCACTGTCCCCACTATCCCCACCACTGTCCTGCTGTCCCCACTGTCCCCACCACTGTCCCACTGTCCCGACTGTCCCCACCGCTATCCCACTGAGCTGTCCCACTGTACCCACCACTGTCCCACTGTCCCAACTGTCCCCACCACTGTCCCCAACGTGCCACTGTCCCATTGTCTCTCTACAGTCCTCACCACCGCTCTCACCACTGTCACCACTACCACCGTCCCCACCATTGTTTAACTGTCCTCGCTGTCCCCACCACTGTCCCCACTGTCCCCGCACCAGTCCCCACCACCACCGTCCCCACCTCTGTCCCACTGTCCCCACCACTGTCCCACTGTCTTCACTGTTCTCACCATTGTCCCCATTGTCCCCCCACCATTGCCCCCACAAGTGTCGCACTGTCCCAAATGTCCCAACCATTGCCCCCACCACGGTCCCACTCTCCCCGTTGTCCCCACCACTGTCCCACTCTCCCCTCCGTCCCCACCAGTGTCCCACTGTCCCCACTGTCCCCACCGCTGTCCCTCTGTGCTGTCCCACTGTCCCCACTGTCCGCACCACTGTCCCACTGTCCCCAGTCTTCACCACTCTCCCCACTGTACCACTGCCCCATTGTCCCACCACCGTCCTCACCACCGACCTCACCACTGTCCCCACCACTACCTTCCGGACCCTGCCCCACTGTCCCAACTGTCCCCACCACTGTCCCACTGTCCCAACAATCCCCACCGCTGTTCCACTGTGCTATCCTACTGTCCCCACTGTCCCCACCACTGTCCCACTGTCCCCACTGTCTCCACCACTCTCCCCACTGTGCCACTATCCCGTTGTCCCACCACCGTCCTCACCACCGACCTCACCACTGTCCCCACAACTACCTTCCCCATCCTGTTCCACTGTCCCCACTGTCCCCACCACTGTGCCGCTGTACCCACACCACTGTCCCCACCACCACCGTCCCCACCACTGTCCCACTGTCGCCACTGTCCCCACCAAGTCCCACTGTCCCCACACCACTGTCCCCACTGTCCCCACCACTGTGCCACTGTCCCCACCACTGTCCCACTGTCCCGGAAGCGGGTATTGTTCGCCGGCGGCGAGAAAAGGGGGGGGCTTCGAAACAGTTGTGACCCCCCCTTTTCATGATGGACCAGGACAGGGGGGGACGGGTTGGAAATCCCCAGTGACCCCCCCTCCCGGTTTTCTGCCAGCAGCGACAGAACACGCTCATTTCTAGGAAGGTGAGTATGAGGATGATGTTGGTGATGGTGATGATGATGATGCTACTGCTGCTGCTGATGATGCTGATACTGATGATGGTGATGATGACGCCGAGTATGCTGATGATGCTGATGCTGATGGTGACGATGACAATGACGATGACGAGGTTGGTGATGTAGACGACGATGCTTATGACGACGACGATGCTGATGACGCTGATGATGACGCTGATGATGCTGATGATGATGATGATGATGATGATGATGATGATGATGATGATGATGATGATGATGATTATGCAGATGCAGATGCAGATGCAGATGCAGATGCAGATGATGATGCTACTGCTGCTGCTGCTGCTGCTGCCGATGATGATGACGGTGGTGGTGGCGATGAGGTGCTCTAGAGAAACGGAGTCCAGAAAGCCATGAGCCTGAGAAGAAACCGGCGGCGACCAGGAACACATCGGATGAAGGAGGAGAGATCGAGCACGACGCGCCAAATCAGAGAGAGAGAGAGATACAGAGACAAGGCCCTGAGGCCCCAGGACGACCATCAATGACTGGTGTGGGAACGTCACGCCTTCCATCGCAAAACCATCGAAACCCTAGAAAACCAGGGCACCCTGGGACAAGCAGGGTGTTTCTTGGCATGGGTCTCGACTGTACAAGTAGTAGGGAGGAGGAGACGGCGGAGGAGGAGGAGGAGAAGAAGGAGGCGGAGGAGAAGGAGGAGGGAGGAGGAGGGGGGCAGAGGGGAGCAGAAGCGCTCGGGGAGCAGCAGAAGGAGGAGGAGAAAGAGGAGGAGCAGGAGGAGGGGAGAGGGGAGCAGGAGCGCTCGGGGAGCAGCAGGAGGAGGAAGAGGAGGAGGGGAAAGAGGATGAGGATCAGGAAGAGGCGCAGGAGCAGGAGTAGGAGGAGGAGGAGGACCATGAACAGAGGGGCAGAGAGACTGCTGGCCTCGGCCGCTGCGACCGCCTCCGGCGCGGCGGCCTCCGGCGCGGCGGCCTCTGGCGCGGCGGCCTCTGGCGCGGCGGCCTCGGGCGCGGCGGCCTCTGGCGCGGCGGCCTCCAACGGCGCGGCGGCCTCCGCCGCGGCGGCCTCGGGCGCCGCGCCCGCGGCGGCCGCGGCGGCGGCCTCCGCCACGGGTGCCGGGCGGTCGGCCGGAGCTGCCTGGGGGCGCGGCGGCCTCTGGCGCGGCGGCCTCCAACGGCGCGGCGGCCTCCGCCGCGGCGGCCTCGGGCGCCGCGCCCGCGGCGGCCGCGGCGGCGGCCTCCGCCACGGGTGCCGGGCGGTCGGCCGGAGCTGCCTGGGGGCGCGGCGGACTCCGGCCGAGGTCGGTCCTCGATTCTCGCTCCTGGATCCCCTCTCCTCCTCCTCCTCCTCCTCCTCCTCCTCCTCCTCCCCTCCTCTCCACCTCCTCCTCCTCCTCCTCCTCCTCCTCCTCCTCCTCCTCCTCCTCATCCGCCTCCTCCTTTCTCCTCCCTCCGCCTCTTCGTCGTCCTCCTCCTCCGTCCCCCCCTGTCGATCATGGATGCAGGAGCCTCCTGCTCCTCCTCCTCCTCCTCCTCCTCCTCCTCCTCCTCCTCCTCCTCCCTCCGCCTCCTCCCGATCCCCACCCCTTCCGGCCGAGATCGGGGCGATGTAAGGGCCGGGGAGGGCGCCTCGAGAATCGAGGGGGTTGAGGAAGGATCGAAGGACGAGAAGAGGAAGACGATCGAGACATCGAGAATCGAGGATGGATCGGAGACCGAGGTGCCTGAACGCTTTTTTCAAGGCTACCTAGGCCCTCCGCAGGCCCCGAAGGCGCCTGGAGGCCTCCGGAGGAAGCACCCCCAGAGCCTACGGGAAGGACGTGGAACTTCAGCGATGCTTCGCAGCGCTGCGAGAAGCACATGCACCATGGGGGAGAGGCGGCGAAGGAGGAGGAAAAGGAGGAGGAGGCGGCGGAGGAGGAGGAGGACGAGGAGGAGGGGAAGGGGAGGAGCAGGAGGATAAGCAGGAGGAGGACGAGGAGGAGCCACCAAGAGACCCAAATCAGGCTCCAAGGAGGCCATTCCAGGCTCCAAATCAGGCTTCAAATCAGCTCCACCCAAAGCAGGCTCCAAATCAGACCCAAGTCAGGTTCCAAATCAAGCTCCAAGGGGTACCCAAAGAGGACCCCAAGACGCCCCGAAGTTCGCCTCTGCTCGACAGATTGAACCCTTCGACGGCCCCGGCGGCGAGGCCGACGGCGACCCAGACATCCGACTGCTCCAAGTTTTTCGATGCGTGGGCCCTAGGAAGTCTGGACCACTCCCCCAGGACCGGCTTCTCGTCCCGAGTCGCTTCTTGACAGCCCCAGGGCCCGGCGAGGGCCCCCCGAGGCGGAACGCGAGCAAAAGCCACCAGCTCGACGGCCGCGCCGCCCTCTCGCGGCGAACCGAGAACGGCCGATTCGCGAATCGACGCGTCAGGGCAGGAGGTCTACAGAAGGGGCGCTGACCTGAGGAACCCTGAGTGAGGAACGAGGCCCCCTTTTTCCCATAACTTTGACTTCGACTCCCCATCGAAGCCCTAAGCAGAACCAAAGGCGAACTGCACAACAACCGAGGAACACCGAGCCCCTCCTCAACGAAAAGGGTTCCTTCCTCAGTGCCCCGACTGTACTGGGATGACCGTGGGGGTTCCTAAGTGGATAGGGGGGTTACAAGTGGATGCCAAGGTGGGTTATATCTGGCCCAACCTGGCTTATAAGTGGGTTACAAGTGCCCTAAGTAGCTTAGGAGGGGTCGATAACTCGGCTAAGTGGGCGGAGCCCACCTAGCCCAGATCGTTAACCCCCCTAAGCTACTTAGGGCACTTGTAACCCACTTATAAGCCAGGTTGGGCCAGATATAACCCACCTTGGCATCCACTTGTAACCCCCCTATCCACTTAGGAACCCCCACGGTCATCCCAGTACCAGCCCCCGAATCTCTCCGGAGCGCCGCCTCCCTGGGGACCCCCGACGGCGACCCGCGACGGCGACCGCCGCCGCCGAGCACCGCCGAGCGGCGGCCCCCTTCCGCGGCCCGCGGCCTCCCGCGGCGCGCCGCCCGCGCCGCTCGCCGGGGGCCCGCCGCCGAGGCCGGCGCAGGCGCGGGAGAAGTCGCCGCCTCGGCGCGCGAGGGAGGGGGGGCGTGCGCCGGCGCGCCGCGGTGGGCGGCCCTTTTGTTCAGGAGGGGAATAAGCACACAGACGCAGTGCATCGCCCACTCCCAGGAACATGTGGGGAAAAATATGGGAGGTGGGGGGGGGGAAGAGGCACAAGGCCCCTAAGATAGGGGAAAATATTGGGAATCTGTTTATGTGTGTGTATGTATTTCGAAGGGCAGCGCGCGCGGCGAGGAGGAGGAGGGGGGGAGGAGGAGGGAGGAGGAGGAGGAGGAGAGGAGGAGGAGGAGGAGGAGGAGGGAGGAGGAGGAGGAGGAGGAGGAGGAGAGGAGGAGGAGGAGGAGGAGGAAGGAGGAGGAGGAGGAGGAGGGAGGAAGAGAAGGAGGGAGGAGGAGGAGGGAGGGAGGAGGAGGAGGAGGAGGAGGAGGCGGCGGCGAGGAGGACGGCAGGGGGTGGCGGCGAGAGCTGCGGCGGCAGAGGAGCGGCGCTTCGGCGGCGGCGGCGCCGGTTGTGGCGGCGCTGGCGAGGATGCAGGGCGGGGGCGCCGAGGGCCACGGTGGCGATGCTGCTGGTGGTGACGGCGGTGGCCACTCCAGATTTCGTAATAAAAGGGAGGGGGTCTCAACCCTCCCAGACGAAAAGTTTTAGACCCCCCCCCCGTGGGGGAACCCTCCAGAACATCGTCCCCAGACCCCCCAGGCCCTCCAAGATAGCTTGAAAGAGACCCCCCCCGAAATGAGACCCCCTCCCTTTTATTAAGAAATCTGGAGTAGGTGACGATGGTGATGATGGTGGTGATGGTGATGCTGACGATGACGATGGTGCAGCTGGCCATGACGAGGCTGATGGTGATAGGGATGGCGCGACGGAAAGGACGATAGCGAGGACGGCAGTGATGATTGTGGCAGTGGCGATGGCGATCGTGATTATGATATAGCATGGTGGTGGCAAGTATGACAATCATGACGATGGCGGTGATGACGGCGATGCGAATGACAGCGATGATAGTGACGATGGTGAGTGCGATGACGCTGACAAGGAATGGCGTCAATGGTGATGGTGGCGATGCGTACGGCGATGACCAAGGCGGCGGTGATGACGATGCAATTGGTGATGGTCTGATGGCGGCGACGACGGCGGCCGTGATGTTGATGATAATGATGATGCCAGCGGTGACGATGCTGATGATGATGCAGGTGATGGAGGATGGTGGTAGTGATGAGGACAACGATGATGTTGTTGGTGGTACAATCGGACCTGGGGCAGAAAGGAACCCCTCAAGAACTCGAAACCTTCAGCCGGCATAACAGCATAGAGCATCCAAAGGCACCCTCCCGGCGCTGCACACGAACACCCAAGCATTACGAACACCCAAGCTCCCCGAGCCGACGTCGATGTTATACCTCAACTCGACTGTCATCATGATGGCGGTGATGACGATGGTGACGATGCACCGATGATGGTGATGACGATGATGATGCTGAGGGTGATGGCGATGACGGTGTTGATGATAAGGACAGCAATGACGGCGACGATGAAATTGACGATGATGACGACGATGGAAAAACAAGATTAACGTAACGATGACGATGGTGATGACGACAATGGCGACACTGACGATGATGCTGACTGGTATGACGACGGTGGTGGCGATGACAACGGTGTTGATGGCACTGAAGACAAGAATGATGGCAATGATGGCGTTGACGCCGATGGTGGCAATGATGAAGACGATGATAATGAGTATGATGGCGACGATGGTGATTGCGTTGCAGAGGGCGATCAGGACGATGAGGCTGAAGATGATGGCGATGACGACGATGACAAAAGTGAAGCCGGAGACGACTATGACAATGATTACTGCGGTGAGGACGATGCTCACGGTGATCGTGACGGGGAAACGGGGATGATGACGATGATGGCGATGATGATGGTGATGGCAATGCTGATGATGATGACGATGACGGCGGCCATGAAGATGATGATGATGACGATGACGATGACGATGACGATACCGACGACGATTATGGTGACGAGGACCGTGGAACACGCCACTGCACGGAGAAATGCCAATCGACGCCCAGATTTTTGAACTCAGCGGGGGGGCCCTCTGGGCACCTTAGTCCCCCTCCTGCGGCGGCGGCTGCGGCGCAATGGCGCACAGGATGGCGTCAGCATCGTAGCCACCGCGGCAGCGCTGGTGGCAGCTAGCAGAGCCCAGCTCGGGGGCAGCGCCCGGCGGCCTCGCGTCACACACGCGTGGCTGGCAGCGTCGATCCCGCGCAGGATGGCCGAGGCATCCTCTCCCAGCTGGATCGCCGATGCCAACTGCAAAGGCGGCGGCGCGATTGCCATACCACTGGCGCTTGGATCGCTCTGCGGCGCGTGCCGACAGATGCAAGTCCGCGACTGCCGACAATGATGATGATGACGATGATAACGATGGTGATGACGCTGATGATGATGACGGTATGATGATGATGGCGATGACGACGATGATAATGATCCAAAGAGAACCACGACACTGACGATGCTGACGATGACTGTGAGCATGCCGATTACGATGACGATCGCGATAATAATGCTGATGATGCCGATGATGATGTCGATGATGATGCCGGGTGTGACGATGCTGATGACGATGATGTTGATGATGACGACGATGATGCTGATGACGGTATGATAGTGATGACGATGACAGTGATGACAATGATGAGAAACGAGGATGAAGATGATGCTGGTGATGACGCTGGCACGGACGATGACGATGATGACGATGATGGCGATGATGATGACGATGCTGATGGACATGGCAACGTCGATGTTGCTAACGATACTGATGGTGACAACGATGACGACGCTGACGATGATGACGACTGTGATGATGATGATGATGATGATTATGACGATTGCAATAATGATGATACCCCTAAGCATGATGCTTCGTTGGTAATGATGATGACGATGATGGCGTCGATGACGATGACGATGATGACGATGACGGCGATGACGATGACGATGACGGGGATGGAGATGTCGATGATGGCGATGACGCGGACGATGGTACTCATGAGAACGACGATGACGACGATGACGACGGTGCTGATGACAATGATCATGATGATAAAGGCGATACCGACGGTGACGATGATGGCATTGATGATGACGACGACAACAATGATGACGACGATGATGACGAACACGATGCTGATAGAGGGTGATAAAGACTATAACGATGGTGTCGATAATGGTATGATACTGACGATAACGATAATGGCGACAACAACAACGATGATGACGATAATAAGGATGCTGATCATACTAATGACAATGATGCCAATGACAATGAAAATGGTGTTGCTTACGGTGAAGCTGATGATCATACCGATAGCGATGACGATGACGGCATCGATGATGATGAATATGATGCTGATGACGATGAAACTACGGATATTGATGTTCACGACGATGATTACGATGATGGCAATGATGCTGATGATTCCGCTGACGATGACTATGATGACCACTGCGATTACGGTGATGACGATGATCCGCTGATCACGATGATGCTGCTGATGTTAATAATGAGAAAAACACCAGTGATGATGATGATGACGATGATGATGATGATGCTGAGTATGATGAAGATGATAAGGAGGATGGTGAGGAGGTGATGGGGATGATGACGATGATGATGACGATGATGAGGATAGTGATCATGATGATGACGACGATGACGATGCCAACGATGATACTCGTGATGACGATGATGACGACGACGATCATGATGACGACGACGATGGTGATGACTATGGTGATGACGACGATGATCATGGCGATTCCGATTACGAGGACGAGGATGACGAAGATGACGATGCTGACGACGAGGACGAGGATGCTGAGAGGGAGGTCGCTCCCCAGCCGTCGACCCTCCACCTTCGCCGTGGGTGACGCCGACGCCGGCGCCGCGCAGGGGCCGGCCACGAGGTCGACGACGCCGACGCTGTGGAGGCTTGAAAGACGAGCGCGCTCCACTGCTCGCACAGTAGCTACTTTCAAATGGCCGACCGGATACTACATGTATCGAGCTAGCAAAATCGACGAGGTGAGCTCGTTGAGGTCGTCCATGTAGAAATCATCTTTACCTGCATGTAGAATCCGCGGGGAATCTACGATACGTTACATCAAAGCAGACATGTGCTTTTCGGACGTTTGCGAGGAGGCACCTTGCGAGCAGTGGAGCGCACTCGGTGACTCGAGGCTTGAGGGTGCCCGTCGCCGACAGCGCAGACGAATGACCCCAAATCGAGAGACGTCGGCGTCGACGGCACCGACACCGGCTTCGGCGAACGGCTCGAGGATCGATCCGACGACGAGGATGCCAGCAGCGGCGTCGGGGATCTGAGGTCGAGGAGCGAAACTGTCTCGCTTTCGGCTGCGAGCGGGGGGGGGGGAAGTGTGAAGGAGGAGGCCCTCTGAGAGGGCGGCGGGACTTCTCAGAAGCCCTCGCGCCTTCTGGGATTTTTTGTCTGTCTTCGGGAGGGCTCAGAAAACCTCTCAGCAGGCTGGAGGACTTCCGGGCCTTCTTAGAAAGCCTCCTCCTTCTCACGTCCAGCCCTCGCTCGCCGCCGAGTCTTGCGAGATCGAGAATGGAGTCGGGGTCCGATGGTCCAGGATCGAAGATCGAGGATTGAAGCCACCGCGAGTTTACTTTCACAGTGGGAGGGGGGGGGGGCCCAGCGTGTCCCTGCAGAGACTGCGGACGTCACGCCAATACATGCTCGCTTGCACAGCTTTCCAGCACAGGTGCTGTTTCAGAAATGGGTTGTCCTGCAAATACTGGCCATCGCTCGGACGTCCATTCCCTGTGCTTTTCCCGGTCTCGTGCGTGGCTGCTCCGCCAAATGATCAAGGGTGCTCCTTGACGGCCCTCGCCGAAGGAAAAGTGCACACACCCGAGCGATGCCAAGAGCAGCTTTGCCGATTTCGCTACAGAGCCACGCTCCTCGATCCGCGGTCGTCGGCCCTCTACTTCGAGAGTCGAACATCGGGGGTACGTCGGCGGCCTTGGCCCCTCCTGGGCCGCCGCAGGTGCCTCCGCAGGCCTACTGCGGCCTCCGGTGACCTCTGGGGACACCTCCAGAGATCGACGAAGCCGTCGCTGTCGGCGTCGTCGTCATCGTGCACGGTATCGTCGTCGTCGTCGTCGTCGTCAGCGCCAGCATCGCCGGCGAGGTCGTCGATCGTCTTCGCCGTCCGTCGTCGTCGAAGTCGAAGTCGTCGCCGTCGTCGTCGTGGTCGCCGTCGTCTTCGCCGTTGTCGTCGTCTTCGCCCTCGCCGTGCTCGTCGTCGTCGCACTCCCCCATCCCATCTTTGGGAGGGGGGTCGTAGGAACCCTGGGGCCCATTCTACTTGTGGGGAGGGGTGTGTGGGACCTCCCAAGTTCCTCCTCCTCCTCATTATCCTCCTCCTCCTCCTCCTCCTCCTCCCTCTTCCTCCCTCCTCCTTCCTCCTCCCTGCGCTGCAGCGGCGTCGTCTCCTTTGGAGCCCGCCTGGATGCGCGAGGAACGCTATAAAGGAAAACCCCACGGAATGCTGGAGTGACATACGAATTGTCGGAAAGTGCAATATTTCGATTGTACTCTTCCTCGTGCTCCTCCTCCTCCTCCTCCTCCTGCTCCTCCTCCTCCTTCTCTCCTCCCCTTCCTTCTTCCACCCCCTCACGAGCGACCCCTGAACATGTCCTGGGACGCGTTCTCACAATATCAAAGCGGATAAACCCGTGGTGAACAAGGTGACCGTTAAGGCCTCGAAAGAATCAAACACAGCAAAAAGCATCGATCCTCAATCCTCGATCCATGATTCTCCTCCTCCTCCTCCTTCTGCTGCCTCCTCCTCGTCCTCGTCGTCGTCGTCTTCCTCCTCCTCCTCCTCCTCCTCCTCCTCCCCCTCCCTCTCCTCCCCCCCTGGCTCCCTTCTCTTCCTCCTATTTCTCGCCCTGCGCAGCACCGTGTCTCGCGGGAGACGCAAACCGGCGGGGGGGAACTAGGCGCACGTGCCGAATCCGGGCAGCGACTTCTCCAGATCCAGCCAGGTCATTTGCCTGCCGTGCGGGGAACGGGGTGGACGGGGCGACGTTGGTAGCTGTGCGAGGCCTGATTTCCTCCTCGCCCTCCTCGCCGGGGAGGACGGGCAGGGCGGGGAGGCGATCCTTGGCAGAGGGGAGGAAGGAGCAATGGGGAAGGGGAACGGAAGCAGGGAGCGGGGGGAGGAACTGGCAGGGGGAGAAGAAGGGCAGCGGGGATGCTTGCAGACCGGGGGCATCCTCATCCGACCACTCCTCCAGCTCCTGCCCCTCCCCTCTCTGGGCACTGGGGAGAAGCGGCCGCACCAGCGCACGTCAGTGCTTCGAAGTGACTGTCTCGGGGCTTCATCCCCCCAAAGGCCTCGGCGCACCGCCCGGTAAGTGCCACGCCTGGTAAAAATGTGGGCAGAGATGTGGTTGGTGCTCGTGTGGCCAGTGGAACTACCTCCTCCTCCTCCTCGTCCTCCTAATCCTCCTCGTCCTCCTCCTCCTCGTGCTCGTCCTCCTCCTCCTCCCATCGACACTGGCAACCGGTGCGCTCTCTGTAAGGAGACCATGGACATCTTTAAGCCAAGGAACTAAATTGGGCCGGGGAGACGATGACTACGCGGAGTCAAGCACGATTCCACAATGGAAAGGCGACAAGGGCTTGAAGGAACAGGCCCTCTCGCCATCCTCGACCAGCTACCGATCAGACAGCGTCAGTCTGCGGCCTCCCCCACCCTGCAAGATGAAATCGCGAAGGCTGCGCAAAACAAGCGCGCCCATCAAACACACAAACCCATGACGGCAAAGCAACGCATGCTCTACGTGCAGACAACGCGGCGCGTCAGCAGGCCAAGAAGCTCACCCGTCTAGCAAGCAACCTCGTCGAGACTCAAAATACCACGACTGCAAGGAGGAGCATGCGAAGCAGGATGCGGTCTCCTTGTTGGCCGAGCAAGAGCGCGCCATCGCGACGGAAGAGCACGCAAAGCGACCGGCGACCCCCACGAAACCCCCAGGCGTCCAGGAGGCCAACGCAGGTGGCTCCGTCTTCTTCGGCTTGAACGGATCGCCCTTCTCGGGTCTCGACGGTTCCGGCCAAGGCTGAACCTGAATGGTGTGCTTCGTTTTCGTTTTGTTTTCGTTGTCCCTCGCTTGTGTCTCGAATCCGCCTTTTACCGCAAAACCGCGAAATCGCCAAAAACACCGTTTGGGTCCAGCCCTGGTTCCGACGACGGCGCGAACCAGTCTGCGCTACAGCGGAAGGCGGAGGACGAGAGGCATAGGCTCGGATCGGCGCTGGACGCCCCTCCCGGGCGCGCGGGGCGCGCCAAGGGCGGCGCCAGCGGCGCCGCCAAGGGCCCCCAGCGTCGATCCAAAAAAAATGCGCGCGGACCTCCGAGCTGTTGTATTTGTGTCATTGTGCGTGCTCCACATGGTTCGCCTCCCTCCTCCCCCCTCTCCCTCCTCTCCCCTCCCTCCTCTCTCCCTCACCGTCCACCTGGCCGCCTATCTTCCTCCCCGATGCCCATCCCGCTTCCCTCCTCGGCCTCCCTTCTCCTCCAGCGCCTCTCCCGTCATGCCCTCCAGTTCTCGACTCCTCCTCCTTCTCCTTCTCCTCCTGATCCTCTCCATCAGTGCCTCTACCAATAATCTCTCCATGTCCCTCCATTTCTCTCTCCCTCCTCCTCCTCCTCCTCCTCCTCCTCCTCCTTGTCCTCGTCCTCCTCCTCCTCCTCCTCCTTCTTCTCCTCCTCCCAATTATCCTCCTCCTCATCACCATCATCAGCATCATCATTATCATTATCATCATCATCATCATCATCATCATCATCATCATCATCATCATCATCATCATCAGCATCATCAGCATCATCATCATCATCATCATCATCATCATCAGCATCATCAGCATCATCATCATCATCATCACCATCATCACCACCACCACCACCATCATCATCATCATCATCATCACCATCACCATCACCATCACCATCATCATCATCATCATCAGCATCATCATCATCATCGTCATCATCGTCATCATCATCATCATCGGCATCGTCATCATCATCATCATCATCATCAGCATCGTCATCATCAGCACCACCATCGTCATCAACATCAGCATCATCGGCATCATCAGACGCATCATCAGCATCAGCATCAGCATCATCATCAGCATCATCATCAGCATCATCATCATCATAATCAGTAGCAGCATCGGCATCAGCACCATCAACAACAACATCAATATCATCATCAATATCATATTCCTTCCGCATCCCTTTACCCAATCACCAGTATCACACTCCGTCCTCCTCGCTCGCCTCTTCTCCCTCCTCCTCCTCCGCCTCATCTCATTATCTTCAAGCGTGATCGTTTCCACTCTCTCTCTCTATCCCTCCCTCTTTCTGTGAGCATCTCCCTGTCTTACCGCCAAAGCTCAATCCTGGAGCGAACCTGCTCTTCCTCCCCGTCATTCTCCTCCTCACCATGCTTCACCCTCGCCCACCATCACCTGCCTCCCCATGTCCCGCGCCTCCTCCCCCACACCCCTCCTGCGTCCACCATGCATCCTCCCTCCGAACACCCCAGCACCCCTTCCCCTCACGACCGCCACTCCCGATCCCCCTCCCCCTTCAACCACGACCTGCGCATCCTACTCCTTATCCTCGTCCGATGGCACTCGCCAGGCTGACTGGAGCATCCCCTGCCCGTGCAGTACAGACCCTTCGCCGAAGGAGACGCTGCCCAAAAGGTAAGTACACTCCTTGCCATCTACCTTTCGCGCCCCCTCTGCATGCTCCTTCTCACTATCCCTCTCCTCTCGACAGCGATTTGCTTTATTGCCCTCATTTGACCCACAAATCCTCTTGCTAATTGATTCCCGCCCGCGGCTACCACCAGACGGGGTGCGTGGTCGCGTCGGGCGCAGAGCCCTGGCGGTCAATGGTGCAGACAGAGGACGAGTAGCTTGCAAGGTGCGGGGCACGACGGTTCGGACTTCCCCAGGTACCACACGACTTGCCCCACCATGTCAATACTCGACAGTCGCGCGATGCGTCTATGATTGTGACAGAATCCGAGAACGCACGACCCCATGCTTGCAAACACCATGCAGTCACAAATCAGCCACACATGGCTTCACTGTTAGGTTGCGGCACATAACCAACACATCGGGGTAGTGAATGGGATGTGAAGCTTGAACAATGCAGCGGTGCACAATTAAAGCTGTCAGCAGGGATCACGCGGATCCTCCTCATCCATACTATCCTCCATTCATCCCTCCACCGCCTCCCTTGGTTAAGTGAGAAACATGAGGACCATGAACCCCACTGGCATGGTGCAGCTCATGCACTTCGAACGAACTTGCACGCACATCTGTCGTACACCGATCAATCGGATCCAGCTTCCTGAGCGAAGGATCGAGGCTACAACAGCAAACTGCACTTTGGACGCTTTTGCTTGCGAAGCCCTGCCAGAGTCGGCCAGCACGCAAGATGGGCATAATGAGCGGGTGTAGGACACGACTGAGAACGAGACTCGCCCCGTGCAGACACGGACAAGGGCGGAGACAGCCAAAACACACCATGTCGATTGATATGACTGTACTCGTGCAGGGTGGGGGACCGACCGCAAGCTCGTCTTGACTGGACTCTCCTGCCGAGCGTGCATCTAGCACACGCCGGTCCGAAAAGGCGGGTCCTCCCTCGCCGTCACGGAGGCTCATCCCTCGTGCATGGAGGCTCCCCCTCTCGCCGCGGCGACTCATGGGAGCCTCCCGTGCCATCTTGCCGGCGCTTGCAGGGCGACGCTGGCCGACGCGGATCCACGCTGCCCGGCGCGAATCGGCGCTGCTCGACCCGAATCGTCCCCTGACCGACGCTGGACGCGTGCTTCCTCGTCGACGACCAAACCGCCAGCGCACACGAACACACCGTCAGGACGGAGCTCCGAGGGCCGGCGGGGAGCCCAAAGAGCTGTCGACGGGCCGAGTGGGCAGCAGATCGGCCGGGCCGAGCACGCTCGACCCCTCAGCCGAGGCTGGCTGACCCATCCTGGGTCGCTTCCTGTTGGCCTGGACCCCAGAAAGAGGAGGAGGAGGAGGAATAACGAGACAAACGTGCACTCTCGGAGGACCACGGGCTTCTTCGACTGGCGTTTGAGGCGCAGCCCTCGAGGGGGGCTCTAGCGCCGATGCCAAAAATCCGCACGGGTTTCCGAACATGTAACTAAAACCCACCCCTTAAATTTGAGACGAATTATTTTTGGCGCGGGCTGATTGACGGATTGGGGCAAAAACCATTACCAGGAACATGCTTATACCCCCGCAGCGGCCACTGCTGAGGCCTCCACCGTCTTCATCGTCGACGACGCTGTCGTCGTCATAGTACTCGCACGCTTACTCTTTCCAATCCCTGTTCCTACTACTAAAATCACAATTGCTCCAAGGCGAGACCTTCGAAGGGAGGAATTAGCATTGAAGACCCTCAGCGGTTGAGGTGCTTAAGTTATGATTCCTCGAACCCAGGAGGCAGAAACATGGAATACCAAGAAGATTTAACCAACCAACCCACCAGAGGCTGGGGGACAAACATACGCGTCGTACGGGAGGGCTGGCGCGCCCCCCTGCAGCGGTGTTCCCGTTGACCCCGGGCGTGCCAGAAGTGCTGGCCACGCGCAATGTCTGATGCCACCGTCCACCGCCGACCGGCCCGCCATCACCCATGCAGCCGATCCTTCGGGTCAATGAAGCCCAACACGCCCGTGCTCAGCAAGACCTGGACTGCGAATCGGTGGAACGCGCGCGGAAGCGGACGCCCCGGAAAACAGCTTTTTGTTCTGAGCTTCGGCATTGGGCTGAAGGTGGGGGAGGAGGGGGGGTCTGGGTCTGGGCCGTTGCTTAGTCGATATGGTTTTTAACAAGCCGCGCAAACAGACGGGGGGGGGATGGGGCCCTGACCAGTCGCCGAAAGCAGCCGCCAAAAGCAGCCACGACGTGGTCTACCAGGGGTGGCGAAGGCGGG